TCCCAGCTACTCAGAAGGCTGAGGCAGGAGAATTGCTTGAACTCAGGACGCAGAGGTTGTGGTGAGCCGAGATTGTATCACTGCACTCCAGCCTGGGCAACAAGAGCAAAACTCCATCTAAAAAAAAAAAAACAAAAAACAAAAAAAAAACATATGTTAGATAATGGACAACAATTGCAGATTTATTTTATCAAGGTCTTGATAGGATAAATAGAATGCTTTAGGTAAAAATATCTGGCAGAAACATTTAAGAAGATCTAAAGAATCAAATGAATAAATCCAACTAGAACAATAGAAGAAGAGGGAACGTTGGCCTCATTTTGGCTAACGTAAGTGGGAACAGAGAAAAATAAGAAATATAAAAACATTTTTCAAATGTTAAGGAAAAACAAACTAGGGAGAAATTAGCTACTGGAATATTTTATTTAGGGAAATGACATAAGCTAACTTGAAAATTAACAGGATTCCTCTAGATGTTATGTGGGAAATGTACTTTTGGAGAACATGTTTGAAAAGCAGGGAGACTAGTTAGTAATCTGTTACACTCATTCATTCAAGAGCTGATGATGGCTTCGAATAGGTGGAATCTGTAGAGGAAATGAATGGTGATCATATCTGGAGTGTATTATTGAGACCTTCATGGTAAGAAGCTTGATGAACCTGCTGAGTTACCCAACACAGAGAAAATCAGAAAGCAGAATACACTCAAAGGAAAATGAGACAATCCAGTGAAATTAAAAAAGTGATGAGGAAACGGAAATGAGACCATGTGAGTGTGGGGTTGCCCAAGTTCAAGTAGGGGCAAATTTGAGGATAGACGACAATAAATATAATTATTGCTAATCTTTTTATGGTGTTAATTATGTGCTAGGCACACAAATGTTTTACATATAAATTCTTTCAAATCTCATTGCAACCTTATGAGTTAGATACTACTTTTATTTTTGTTTTATAGATGAGGAACTGAAGTATAAATGTTAGTAACCTACCAAAATTCATACATCTATTGTGTGAATAGTGCTGGAGCTGATATTTAAACCAGGCAGTCTGATTTGAGTCTGTGCTCTTAACCACTATGTAATACACTAGTATAGTTACCAGAAAGTACATCAGGATGTAGGTAATTACTTAGAAGTATGAGTGGAGGCTTGGTTTTGGTCAATATCGGTAGGAACAGAGGGCAAGGTAGAACACTGTCTGCAGGAATTAAGGAGAGAATGGGAAGTGTGATTGTTGAGTAGAAATTAATTATCTGAAGCACTTTAAAAGAAATAAAATAGAGGATAATAAATTAGAATAAAATGATGGCTCCAACAAATATGGGGTCTAAGATTTGGAGATGTATTTACCAAATACTTGAGGATATTAAATAATGATGTTAAATTGTTTTGGGGGTGATAAGGACCCTATTTAAAAGATACCATTACCTATTAGAGATTTATACTAATATTTATTGATGGAATAAGATCTCAGGAATTTGCTTCAAAATGATGTGAAAAGAATGGAGAGTAAGTGAGTGGAGAACAGATGAAATATTGGCCTTAGGTTGATAGTTGTTGAAGCAGAGTGACGGGCACACAGAGGTTTATCATACTCCTTTGTAGGCTTAGGTATATGTTTGAAATTGGCTTTGTTTGTAGTGGATTGAATAGCCTCCCCCAAATATTCAGGTTTATTCAAAACCTCAGAATGTGTCCTTGTTTGAAAATAGGGTCTTTGCAGATGTTATTCGTTAAGGATCTTGAGATGAAATCATCTTGGGTTTAGTGTGGGACCTAAAAACAATTATTTGTGTCCTTATAAAAAGGGGGAGAGGATGCAGAGGCTCAGAGAAAATGGCCATATATAGACTGAAGCAGAGATTGAAATTATGCAGCTACAAGTTAAGACATGCCTGGGGCCACCAGAGGCTGGAAGAGGAAGAGTATTCTTTCTTAGAGCTTTCAGGGGGAGCATGGCCTTGATGACTCCTCTCAATGTCCTAAATGAAATTGATAGGAATCATGGACAGAATACACCTAAAGAGGCCAGTTTCACTCTCTAAAAGCCTTGCAAGGAAGAGCATTCATGTGGAAAGCCGATTCAGGGCAATGGTGCTCAAGTAGATAAGGAGTTATGTCAAATATTGACAATTATTCCCAAAGGTCCAAGGCCTTTAAAAAAGTCCTGTAGAATATTTCTCAAAGATGCTGATATGGTTTGGATCTATGTGTCCAGCCAAATGTCATGTCCAGTTGTAATCCTCAATGTTGGAGGTGGGGCCTGGTGGGAGGTGATTGGATCAGAGGGGCAGTTTCTCATAGTTTAACACCACCACACTTGGTCCTATCATCACGATAGTGAGTTCTCATGAAATCTGTAGATGTCTATTAGGCCCACTTGGTCCAGAGCTGAGTTCAAGTCCTGAATATCCTTGTTAATTTTCTGTCTTGATGATCTGTCTAATATTGACAGTGGGGTGTTAAAGTCTCCCACAATTATTGTGTGGGAGTCTAAGTCTGTTTGTAGGTCTCTAAGAATTTGCTTTATGAATCTGGGTGCTCCTGTATTGGGTGCATATATATTTAGGATAGTTAGCTCTTCTTGTTGCATTGATCCCTTTACCATTATGTAATGCCCTTCTTTGTCTCTTTTGATCTTTGTTGGTTTAAAGTCTGTTTTATCAGAGACTAGGATTGCAACCCCTTTTTGCTTTCCATTTGCTTGGTAAATATTCTTCCATCCCTTTATTTTGAGCCTATGTTTTTATTAGAGATGGGGTTTCACCGTGTTAGCCAGGATGGTCTCGATCTCCTGACCTCGTGATCCACCTACCTTGGCCTCCCAAAGTGCTGGGATTACAGGGGTGAGCCACTGTGCCCAGCCCAGTTTTAAAAATAATTTCTATTTCTTTGTTGATATTCTCTATTTAATGTCACATTGTCATCAGACTTTACTTTTTTTGTTGGGTTCCTTCACTTGTTTAATCATGATTTTATTGAATTATCTGAATATATTTATACTAGCTGCATTATTATTATTATTATTATTATTAATAGTCAGTGGAGATGAGGTCTCACTATGTTGTCCAAGCTGGACTCAAACTCCTGGGCTCAAGCAATCATCCCACCTTACCCTTCCAAGTAGCTGGAACTAAAGGTGCATGCTACTACTCCTGTATATAATAGCTGCTTTGAAGTGTTTGTCTGCTGTGTTCAAAATATAGACTCTTTCAAAGGCATTTTCTGTTGTCTCCTTTTTCTCCTGCATAGGAATCACACTTTTCTGTCTCTTCACATATTTCATATTTATTTTTGTTGAAAACCAGACATTTTAGAGAATGTGTTGTAGCAGTCCAGATACTGATTCTCTCCCCCAGGAGCTTGTTGTTTTTATTTTTTACTTGCATATGTGTTTAGTGGTTTGGCTGGACTATTTTAATAATGTTTGTTTCCCTGTAGTATACAGCATCTTTTATACTTCTGTTACTTTTCCGATAGTGCAGCCTTGGGTGTGGACAGTTATCCTGTGATGATAGCAACTTTTAATAGAGCTCTCTATGACTATCTCTTTCCCTGATCTCCCTGTTAAGCTATCTGCATCTCTTGGTATCACACCTAGCTTTTGGCTTCCACTAATTGTTCGATCATTGCCTCATTGTTTTTGTCAGTGCCCTAAGGCACAAAGTGTTCCACAGTTTAATATAATTAAATTCAGGTTCTTACAAGAGTAGTCTTTGAGGCCCATTCTTGAGGTTTGTTCTGACTCCGGGAGGGCTTAGATGTTTCCCTCACCCCCTCAATCTGTCTGGTAAACTTCTATCTGGGCTTTAGCTTGCTCTCATAACACTATCAGCTTCCTCTTAATTGCTTACAATTAAAATACCTATTATATTTGAAAGTACCCTCATGCTTGAACTTCCCCACTCAACTGTTCCAAATACAATCAGTTCCTTGGGGAAAGCTTCAAAGTTCCTCTCTGTTCTTATAGTCTTCCTCTCTCTGTCTGGGCAAACCTACATGCCAGTTCTCTGGAGATGGAGTCAGGGACAGTGGCCCCCTTCTCTTGGCATGATACCTCTGCTTTACTAGCAGAGCACTGGGTGGGGGCAATAGCCTCTGGTCTTCTTGACTTGCTTCTCCTGGCATGAAAACTCTGCCCTAACAGTGAGCTAAGGCAAGTAGGTCTCCAGTATTCTTGGCTTGTAACACATGGGGTAGAGCCTCTGCTTTAGGAGTGGAGGCTGGGAAGAGAAACAGCTCCATTGTTTTTTGATTTCTGAGACAGGGTCTCATTCTGTTGCCCAAGCTGGAGTGTAGTGGCATCATCTCAACTCACTGCAGCCTTGATCTCCTGGGCTCAAGCAGTCCTCCCTCCTCAGCCTCACAAGTAGCTGGGACTATAGGTGCACACCCCCATACCTGGATTTTTTTTTTTTTACTTTTGTAGAGACAAAGTCTGGCTATGTTGCCAGAGCTGGTCTTGAACTCCTGTGCTCAAGCAATCCTTCACCTTGGCCTTCCAAAGTGCTGGGATTATAGGTGTAAGACATTGTGCTTTGTGAGAGCCCTATTCTTGCCTACAATAAAGCTTCTGTAACACAGAGCTAAGAGAATGAGAAAAGTTGGAGGCCTGCCCATCACAGAAAGATGCCACAGTTCTAGACTGGAAAATGAGAAAGAAGGAGCCCTGTTTCTTGGCTACATCTCCTTGGAATGAAGCTTTCATCTTGCTGAGCTATGGGTGGGGGAAGAGGAGACTGTGGCTTAAATGCCACAGAATCTCAAAGTTCTTACCAAGATTTATTGGATTTTCTTAAATAATTTCTTTTTTTCATTTTGAAACATAATTTTTCTCTTTCCAGTTTCCCATTTTTTCTAAAGACAAATCATGGTAGGACGAACTTGCTTTATTATACTTGGCCAGAATATTTGTATAAGGTGTAGCAAGAATAATTATTTTTCATATAGGTTTTTTAAATTGCCTTTGATGGAACTTTGTTCCATAGAAGGAATCTCAGATAAGACTTTTTTTTTAAGCTGAGCCCAGCCATGGATTTATACCATCAAATACCTATGAGTTGGGTAAATTCCTCTCCTTTTGAGGTCCTATGATAACTTGGGGCTCCTTAGCCTGTCAGAAAGTGACATTCTTTACTTACCACAAATCAGGAACCCTGTAGAGGAACTGTATAGGTAAGGTATGAGGCTAGTTTTCCCAAGGGGCTTTTATTGGCTCTATAAATCAAGTTTGAGTCCTTACATGAAAGCACACCATTCCAGTCAAAGCCTTGGTAAAATAAAGTTTCTCCAATAGTGTCCTGTTGCAAAAGAAAGCATTCTTACTGTGCTTGTGCAAATAACTAAATTGTTATAAGTTAAGAATACTGACAAATAGTTTCCAAATTCTGGAGAAATCAGGTAAAGAGAAATATGCTCCACGTTTTGTTCTTAGGAGCATATTAATTTGTTAAAAGCTGTCAATAGCTTAAAAAAAGTTTCCTCAACTCTGAAAAAACAAAACAAAGGATCAGCAACATTTTAGGCAAAAAGTAAAAAAGATTACTTTGGTCTTCTATTAGTTCAGTCTATGCAGTTAATTCCTGTTCTGCTTGATAGTCATGAACATTTCAGCTCTCCATGAGTCCTGAAAGGTTTTCCTCTATTCTCGTATCACAATCTCCAAAGTTATCAGAACCCTGCATTCAAGAACACCTGTTAGAATTTTATAGGTGATAATAAAACCACCTTCTAAGAAGGACCAAAACAAGACAACAATTGTTCATGAATGACAAAAAGTTTTAGGCAACCATAGTCAAAGAAATGATTGACAAGGAAATCTGTTACCTCTGTGGCAAACAATAATTTAACATGACAATTATATCTGTTAACATACACTAAAAGTCATATCAGAATTATAGGAGTTTCCTATAATTGTATAGGAATTATATAAATGTATAATGTATGTATACAAATACAGCCCAAAGAAAGCCAAATACCATTTCATATGTGACAATGCTTCCTGTATGATTTTGATACTAAATAAGCCAAATATGTAATTTTTGGACTTTATAGAACCTAATATCTTAAAGGATTAATTACGTCAGAAAAAGACATGATTTGGGAAGTTTGTCAAATATCAAATGTTTAAAACACGTGATATCACAAAATAGGATCACAGGTCATTGTAAAATAAGTCATTTATTTAACCAAAGTGATAACTCAAGGATTTCAAAAAAGGCAAAAAGCCTTCATTGTTTGAGAGAGGAGACTTAATTTTCTAAAAAATAAGCCCTAATTAAGACAGCATGAAGCCAATTAAATTTGTTTTTCAAAATTTTATAAATGATCTATAGAATTTTAATCATCTTGGCCATAAGATGTAATTTCCATAAGCCTTTTAAACCTTTATAACCTTTATTAAGGAGTTGGTTAATACTTCAAGAAAACCTTGTTAATCTGACACAGGGGCCAATATTCCAGTGTTTCATCAGTGTGCCTTTGATATTAATGGTTAATTTGTATAGAAACTGAAGTTACTTTATCTCTCAAAACCAGCCCTTACAATCTCATCTGCCCACCTCTTCTGTGATAGTCTCTGGGCCTTGGAGGAGTTGAACAGCTTTAATTTCTGACTCTGTGTCTCATGAACACAGTGTACTTTGATTGGCATCTTCTATGGGGTCTGAAGATGAGGGTTTAACTGCTGTCAGTATTAAGATTTAGCAGGACTTGGTGTGCTTTTAGACCCAGGTTGTCAAAGCCCTTTAACTTAATGGCACAGGACTTTAAATGGACATATAGAAAGTTACAGGAATATAATAACTTTAATTTAAAAAATTTTTATCTCAGTTTTTTCTAAGCAAACCCAACTTAGTAGCAGTGATATAGAAATTATTTAGATAAAGATTAAAATCTGTTTATTAGGCCAGTCACTCAAGGCAAGAGAAAAGATCTTCTGCAGGGTGACTGCTGTTTCCTATGGGGAATATTATGTTAGAAGGAAACATTTCCTTTAGAGCTTTAATATAAAATTTTTTTTAAAGTGTCAGGCCCAAATTAGAACCTGAAGAAAAAAACTTACAGGATCTGAAAATGAGTTGAAGGACAGAGTTATTATTTCAGGCCTTTTAAGAGGGAGAGAAAGCTGAAAACAGTGAGATGCAGTAAAAGTTGAACTTTGCATAAAATAAATTATAATGTCTTGTAACTTGTTACGAGTAAAGCAATACCTTAAGAAATTTTCATAGTTTGAACCAATTACTTAGTGTATGCTTTTGTACTCAAAACCCAATTTCTAGAAAGACCATTATAATGTCTGTTTAATTATAGACAACTTGATCACATAAAATATTTTTTTTTTTTTGAGACGGAGTCTTGCTCCCTGGCTGGAGTGCAGTGGCCGGATCTCAGCTCACTGCAAGCTCCGCCTCCCCGGTTCCCGCCATTCTCCTGCCTCAGCCTCCCGAGTAGCTGGGACTACAGGCGCCCGCAACTGCACCCAGCTAATTTTTTGTATTTTTAGTAGAGACGGGGTTTCACCATGGTCTCAATCTCCTGACCTTGTGATCCACCTGCCTCGGCCTCCCAAAGTGCTGGGATTACAGGCGTGAGCCACTGCGCCCGGCCGATCACATAAAATATTTTTAAAATAAATCCTCTTATTATGACTTACACAGACCATTTATGACATGCTTGGACTTTCTGGTTTGCCCTGAACATCCCTCTTTCTTAAACAACTAGTCATTTTATTCTAGGTCAGAGTTTCCCATACAAGATTCTAATATAAAATTATTTTTCTTTAAACTTTCTTACCAAAAAATACTTTTTTATTTCTACACCTTTCTTTATATCTCTCTTATTTCCTGGTTCCTTTTGCCTTGTTTTACATATAACCTTTAAAAAAAACTTTGAATTAGACAAAAATTATTCACCTTTTAAAAAATGACATATTTTTAAAAAATGTTTCCCTACAATATAATTTTATTGAAAATACTCAATAATGAAATATCTATTACTTAATTTAATATAACTTTAGATTCTAAATTATGACAAGTTTATCTGCAAGTATTTATCCCATTACATTTACCTATTTTAATTGTTTACCTATATTATGAAAACTGCTATAGTCATCATTTAAATCATCATCATTTTGAAAGCACCATTGCAAAATCATAACTGAGACAGTGAAAAAGATCTGACCTAACTGACTCCATCTGGCTTCTAACCTCCAAGGTGTCATTGTTCATTCCTGGGTGTACGCCATACCAACTTTGAGAGGAATGTAGTTTATAGTTTAGCTTTGAAACAAAGATGATAACAGTCCTTTCCCAAAATAAACCCCCTTCCTGCCTGTGGACTAGACTGCCTAAAGCCTCAAAATTAGAAGTTATGGTTATTTTACTAAATAATTCAAGATTTAACTACATTCATTAAACCAATATCAATGTCTTATTTATTAAAAATTACACAAGCAAATATTCTGTTTTGAGCTAGGTGTATAGTTTTGTAACCCCTATGCCAAATTTTGATACTTTATAGTATTTGGCAAGGATAAGTATGAAATTGCTTGATCAATGAATGCAAACAAAAAAATTTATACAGGCAATTATTAAGACATTTCTCATATTACTTTACCAATAATTTTAAAGCTAGCTTATTCATTAAAGATTTTCCTTAAGGTACATTAACTTGAAAAAGCATTTGACTAGTCTTTCCTTCTTCTGATAAAATATTTGATTTAAGCATTTTTGTTTTTCTTTAAGCTAACTGGAACTCTTTTATATATTTTTAATAGTGAAACTATGTATACAACACATAAATACATAGATGTTTTATTAGGCATACTGATAGAAGTACAACTTATAGATTCATAAGACCTACTTTTTTTTCTCCATAGACTTGCAAATTCTTGATAACCTGTTTCATTACCCTGGAAGTTGTCAGATAAATAGCCCTAAATCTGCATATTGAAGGAAACTACCTTCAGGTGAACAATCAGATAGCAAAATCTGCATCTCAAGGTACAGAGAGAAAAAGTCTGGTGGTGCTAGAGGGAGATTAAAGATGTATGCTAAATCAAACATAAAATTATAGAAATCAATCACAGGATTCTATAAGAAGACCAATTTTATTTAGATAGGGACTACCTATCTTTTAACTGGGATCTCTAATCTCTGGGCAGAGACCACACTGAATCCTGGGTTTTCAAAAAGGGAGAACTAGTATGAAGCTAGACCATGTGATGCTTTTACAGTGCACTTAAATTTTTTTTTAAACAAACACATTTCTAAGTGTCTAAACTATACTCTTCCTTAAAAACCCAAGAGTAGCCTCTGTGCAATAACAATTTTAGTAAAAAAAAATTAGGTAACAGAATACAAAAGCAACCAGTTTAAGAGCTGAGATAGGCCAGGCATGGTGGCTCATGCCCATAATCCCAGCACTTTGGGAGGCTGAGGGGGGTGGATCACCAGATGTCAGGAGTTTGACACCAGCCTGGCCAACACAGTAAAACCCTGTCTCTACTAAAAATACAAAAATTAGCCAGACTTGGTGGCAGGTGCCTGTAATCCCAGCTACTCGGGAGGCTGAGGCAGGAGAATTACTTGAACCTGGGAGGCAGAGGTTGTAGTGAGCCGAGATCACGCCATTGCACTCCAGCCTGGGTGACAAGAGTGAGACCTCCTCTAAACAAAAACAAAAACAAACAAAACTGAGATGAACTTGTCTGTTTACACTCTTGGGGTTCCATAAGGAAAAACAAAGATTTCTCCTCAAAAGGAAGTCTGGTGCCTTCTCCATTTTCTTCAAGGAATCCCAGGCTGTTATAAACTGTTTTAGGTTCCTCATGCAGCAGAGGGTGCAAGAGAAAGGAAAGACAGCAGAAGTAAACAAAGAAAACATAATTCAGTCAAATGAGAAGTAAAAAGTTTTGCTCAACAAAGACAAGGTCCTAGGAGAGGAAAAACAACAAAAATATGAAGGCCTTTTAAATACAAACACGCACACACACACACATATACATACATATCTTGGATGTTAGCTTTTAATTAAGCTGACTTTTAACCACTGAGCTCCTTTAAAAAATATTTTTAAATCTCATTACCATATTTCAGCTAGGACAAATTGATGCCATTTAAGAAGTATCAGGTATCAAACCTGAGCTTGACTTAAGAACCAAACCCAGGCTGGTGAAAAAAAACAAGGCATAACCTTAGCTATGGAATTGTAGCCTGGGAGACAGCCATTGCTTTTTTGGTTTCAGCTGGCTAGCAAAACAGTGGCCTTGTTATGTAAATAAAGCCTTTTTTGTGGGAATTTAGCCACTTTAAAGGCTTTGTTCCCCATAATTTGGAACTTTTCTTTGGATTTGATCAAGTCGGATACAGTTGGTCAAACTCAATGGGAAAAAGATTGAAACAACAACAACAAAAACAGAAACAAACAACAAAAAAAGCTAAGCAAAACAATCACACAAGTTAATATGATTATTGAGCGCTCTAATAGTAAGACGAAATTAAGATCAGCTGGTTGTTAATCTTAACTTCAGCCAAGACAAACCCCAATTCATTTAGTTACCTAGGGATGGGTCTCAGACCGAAGACTGCTTTCTACCATCCTGGGAGCAGAAAAGAAAAAAAAATTGTCTTCCCTGTTAGAAGTTAGCTTAAACTCCATAAAGGAGTTACCTGCCTTCCAAAATCATGGAAGTGGGAAAACTTGCCTTCCTTGTGTTGGAAGCTAGTAAAATTTCAAAAAAAGAAGTTGTACAGCAAAATTAACTTTGGATCTTGATGAAATTTTGGGATATCAGGGATTATGCATTATCAGAGATAAATGCAGTCAGATAGCCATTTATCTCGGTGATCAGAGGGATGACTTTGAATAGAATGGGAGGCAAGTTTGCCCTAAGCAGTGTTTAGCATGACTTTTCCCTTTAGCTTGTTGATTTTTGGGCCCCAAGATTTATTTCCCTTTCACACCCCCAATGTGACTATATTTGGAGACAGGGTCTTTAGGAGGTAACTGACAATAAATGAGGTAATAAGAAGAGAAACCAGTGAGCTCACTCTCTCTGTCAAGTGAAGACACAAATAAACCAACACTCCTGGCACATCATTGATCTTGAACTTCCTCTCTGCAATACTGAGAGAAAATTAATTTCTGTTGTTTAAGCTGCCCAGTCTGTCATATTTTGTTATGGTAGCCTGAGCAGACAAAAACAATCACCTATGTCTAAAAGACCGAGTGGGGGCCTGGTGCGGTGGCTCACACCTGTAATCCTATCACTTTGGGAGGCCGAGGTGGACACATTGCCTGAACTCAGGAGCTCGAGACCAGCCTGCACAACACGGTGAAACCCTGTCTCTATTAAAATACAAAAGAAATTAGTCGGTTGTGGTAGCATGCGCCTGTAGTCCCAGCTACTCAGGACGCTGAGGCCGAAGAATTGCTTGAACCCTTGAACCTGGGAGGCGGAGGTTGCAGTGAGCCGAGATTGCGCCACTGCACTCCAGCCTGGGCGACAGAGCAAGACTCCATCTCTACAAAAAAAAAAAAAAAAAAGACTGAGTGGGGCGACTAGCCTCCCACCCTCGCCAAGTTGTAATGGAGAAGGCTGGGTATGGAGTCAGGAGTTTCATCCCTATTAGGGGTAAAGAGTCCTTCTTCATCCATGATGTCACTGGAGACCAAGAGAAGACCTTAGACTTTCTCAACCATCCTGTAGTAATGCCCCCTCTTTTCCCATTGGGGTAGTGTCAGAGAATCCTGGGGTAATGGAGAGAAAGGACTTTCACCACTGCCTAACAGTAATGAGGCTCCTCCCCTGACAACACCAGCACAGGCCACATGGAGTGGAGGCAGTAACACAGTACTCCTACCCCTACCAGCCAGTGGAGAACTAGTGGGGAGCTGAAACTCCCATTCCCCGAGAAGTAATGAGGAGGGCTCCTCACCTTGGGCATCAATGGAGGCTGAGTGGTAAACTGGACTCCTACCTATACCTGAAAGTAACAATGTGGTGTCACCCCCACTTCCTCTGCTGGAGTGCTGTCACAGGAAGCCAGCAACCACAGAAGGATTAATTAAAATCAGGTCTCATAACATAATACACAAAATGTCCAGGTTTCAATTTAAAAAACATTCATAAAAAGCCAGGAAGATCTTACACTGAAGGAAAAAAGATAATCACTAGATGCCAATCAAGATGACAGAGATATTAAAATTATCTGACAAAGACTGTTAAGCAGCCGTTGTAAAAATGCCTCAGTGAACAATTACAAGCATGCTTGGAACAAATGAAAAACAGAACATCTCAGCAAATAAACAGAAGATATAAAGAAAAACAAAATGGAAATTTTAGAATGGGAACATATAATAACTAAAAATTTAAAACTCAGTGAATGGACTCAATAGCAGAATGGCAGGAGAGGGGACAGAATAATATCAGTAAGTGAAAGAACAGTAGAAATTATGCAGTCTGAACAACAGAGAGAAAATAGAAGAAAAGAAAATAGAACAGTGCCTCATGGAAATGTGGAACTATATCAAAATATCTTACATTCATGTCTTTGGCATTCATGATGGAGAGGAGGATGAGGCTAAAGAAGTATTCAAAATAATAATGGCTGAAAATTTCCCAAATTTGGCCAACCCCCACCCCAAACTTAGAAATTCAAGAAGCTGAGTGAATCCCAAACAAGATAAAATGAAAAGAAATCCATGCCAAGAAACATTGCAGTCACATTTCTAAAAACCAAAGGCAAAGTAAAAATCATGAAAGCTGCCAGAGAGAAACAATGCATTCCATATAGTAGAAATAGAATTCGAATGAGAGTTGATATCTCCTCAGAAACCATGGAGGCCAACAGGAAGTAGCACAATATTTTTCAAGTGCCGAAAGAAACCTGTTACGCAAGGTGTGATGTTAGCAAGATGGTGGTGTAGGATTTTCCAGAGCTTGTCCCCTTGCAGAAACATCAATTTGAACAACTTTTTATTCATGAAAATGCCTTCACAAGAGCTAAGGATGACAGCACCTGGGTGTAGCACAGAATAAGAAAAGATGCCTTGAAGAGTGTAGGTTGGAGAGTTTTACATTACTCAAGTCACCCTTCCCACAAGGCAAGGCAGTGATACCCTCTTTGTAGGGGAAGGAGAGTGAAGTGAGCACCCAACTTTGCCATGGACCCCAGCATCAGGCCTGTCCCAGTGAATCCTGCTGCCAGGCCAGCTCTAGGCTCCAGGCTGGCCCTTTGGCCCCAGACGCTAAGCAGGCTCCCCTGGCCCCAGGCTTGAAGCTCACCCCAGAACCAAGACAGGCCCTGCAGCCCCAGGCTCTAGGCTGCCCCCTGCAGACTCAAGTTCCAGGTCTGCCCAGCACCAGGTTGGCTAGAAATCTACAGTAAATGTTAGACTAAATGAAGAATTATTAGAACCATGTTCATTGGTCCTTTAAAGGCATGAACAAGACAAATATTGTCATTGTCATTGCTACAATTCAGCGTGTGCTGAAATTATAACCAAAGAAAAAAAAGAAGAAAAAAACCCAAGAAAATGAAATAATAGATACAATTATTGGAAAGAATGAGAAAAAAAACTATTTGTTCATTCTCACATTTATACCAAAAATGTGAGAAAAATTCATTTAAATAGAAAGGACCAAAACCTAATACAGGTTTTAGTACAGTGGGAGTTCAGTAGTTTTAGCACAGTAGCAGGTAAATTATTTTCATTTTTTTCCTGTTACAGCAAAAAGTAGAAACTCTTTGATCAAATAATTTCATTGTTAGAAGTTTTTTCTATGAATATACTTATTAAAATACTCCAAAATATATGTTTTTTTCACATCAGTTTATTAAAAAAAAGAAATAATCTCAAAGTTAATTGTTAGGAGACTTGTTAGATACATCTATATCATAGGATGCTATGAGGCCATTAAAAATGACGTGAATCCATAAATGGTGCCATGCAATGCTCTTTGAGATACAAGAAATAGTAAGCTACAGAACAGAATTATAGAATGGTCCATTCTATAAAGGATATGTTTTCTGGAAAATTATATCGAAAAATGTGGAAACAATGTTAATTTGAGGGGAATCTTGGGCTTGAGAGTGAAGATAGAGAAATGCTTTCTGTCTTTTTTTTTTTTTGAGACGGAGTCTTACTCTGTCACCCAGGCTGGAGTGCAGTGGCCGGATCTCAGCTCACTGCAAGCTCCGCCTCCCGGGTTTATGCCATTCTCCTGCCTCAGCCTCCCAAGTAGCTGGGACTACAGGTGCCCGCCACCTTGCCCGGCTAATTTTTTGTATTTTTTTAGTAGAGACGGGGTTTCACCGTGTTAGCCAGGATGGTCTCGATCTCTTGACCTCGTGATCCACCCATCTTGGCCTCCCAAAGTGCTGGGATTACAGGCTTGAGCCACTGCGCCCGGCCGAGAAATGTTTTCTAATTTTCACTTTTTAAAAAAATTTCACCACTGATCAGAAGGTGTTTATTTATTTAATTTTTTGAGACAGGATCTCACTCTGTCGCCCAGGCTGGATTGCAGTGGCACCATCAAGGCTCACTGTGACCCTTCTGCCTCAGTCTCCCGAGTATCTGGGACTACCGGCATGTGACAACATGCCTGGCTAATTTAAAAAAAATTTTTTTAGAGATGGAATCTCCTTATGCTGCCCAGGCTGGTCTCAAACTCCTGGGCTCAAGCAATCCTCTAGCCTCAGCCTCCCAAGGCACTGGGATTATAGGCATAAGCCACCATGCCTGGCCTATTTTTATTTCTGATTGTATACCTTTTCGTACAGGTCAGAAGTTTTAAAATGTATTTAAAAATCAATACCTTTGCTTCATGCCAGCAGTAACTTATTAGAAAATATTAATAATTAAAATTACTTATTTCACAGCAGTTAACATAAACCACAAAAGACGTAGGAATAAACCTTACCAGAAATGTCCAAAACTGGGATGAAGAAAAGGTCAAAATTCTACCAAAGGACATAAAATAAGACATGAATAAAAGGAAAGATGCTTCATATTACTGGAAGGAAAGTCTCTGGGCCATGTGTTGTAGGAAGGACCCAGTGGGAGAAGAATGAATCATGGGGGCAGTTTCCCCCATACTGTTCTTGTGGTAGTGAATAAGTCTCATGAGATCTAATGGTTTTATAAGGGGAAACCCCTTTTGCTTGGCTCTCACTTCTCTTGTCTGCCACCATGTAAGATGTGCCTTTCACCTTCCACCATGATTATGAGGCCTCCCCAGCCATGTGGAACTGTGAGTCAATTAAACCTCCTTTTCTTTATTAACCCTCTTGGTAATTTCTTTATAAATTACCAAGTCTCAGGTATGTCTTTATTAGCAATGTGAAAATGGACCAATACATGTCTGCATTCATTCCCTGTTATTTCATCTTGGCCAGAAGCAATAGTTTGGAATTATTTTCTAAAATTTAATTTTGTTTTATAATTATGTAAATTTTTTGTGGTTCTCAAGTAAAATAAACAGAACATGGTACATTCAAAGGACAGTGGGTACTATTTCTGTCCCTTCTGTCTTATTACCTTCTTAGGAAGTGTCTAAGATGACCACCAATGATCCCCACTTCCTGGTATTCATGACCTTGTGTAGTCACTTCCATATAAGTAAGTAGCTTTTAACCAATAGAATATGGCAACATTGAGGGGATATCCTCTCATGATTAGATTATAAAAGACTGTGACTACCATCTCCCTTATAGACTCTTTCTCTTGCCTCCTTAAATCAGCAAGTTTCCACGTTAGAGCGTTCTGCATGGCAAGGCACTGTGAGTGGCTTCTAGCCAGCAGCTATCAAAGAAGTGAATACCCTCAGTTCAATAATTCTTGAGGCACTGAATCCTCCCAAAATCATATGATTGAGCTTGGAAGTGGATCTTTCTCCAGTTGAGCCTTCAAATGAAAGCCTATCCTTGGATGATAACTTTATTATAGATTTGTGAGAGACCTTAAAGCAGAGAAACTAGATAATTTGTCAACTTCCTGACCCACAGAAACTGTGAGACAACAAATGTGCATTTTTATGCCACTACATTTTGGGGTTATTTGCTACATTTTCATAGATAATACCACCCTTTATAGATAATGTTTTATTTGACGATTTATTTTTCCATTATTCATTTTTAATTTTTAAGGTAAGTATATATTTAGTTGATCTTCATTATTCACAAATTCTGCATCTGCAAATTCACCTACTTGCTAAAATCCATTTATAACCCCAAAATCAATACTCACAGCACTTTTGCAATTATTTGCAGACACACACAGAGTAGCAAAAATGTGTCATCTCATGTGCACCTTCCCAGTTGAGTTAGAACTCTGGCTTGAGGTATTGAGACGACCAGAGGATAGAGACAGAAGGGGCAGCATGGTAATGTACAAGAAGCTGCAGCTGTTAATGGAGTGACATTAGGCAAGTTATTTAACACTTCTAAACCTCATTTTCTCTTTTGTAAAATAAAATAAAATCTGCCCAGGATAAGTTGTTTTTAGGATTATTTTATATATACATATATATTCTCAGCTGGGATTTCATTTTACAAAATAATATTTTTTATATATATATAATTTTATTCTTCCCCTGGAAGCAGTGGTTCAGTACTTGCTAATCCAGGGCTTATGATGACTTTATAGAACATAACTGGTGTAAATAAAAAGGACTAGGGAAAGGGGTCACTTCATTTGTTTCTCACTGCAACTGTTTATATATATGCTATGCACATATATAATAAATACATATTCATTCACTTTTATGTTAAAAATGGTAATAGCAAATATTTTCATTTTTCCACTTCATGTTTTTTACGTATTGTATCCTTAATATAATTAATGTCAGGATACATATTATATCCTGAAATTCACTTCATGTTAGTACAGAAAGATATTTCTCCCTCCGTCTCTCTCTCCTCCAATTCCTCTCACATACACATACACAGCTAAGTAGTACTGTTTTAAATGTTTGTGTTATCTGCTGTCCTTTGGTATTAAAAACAGTTTTGCAATAAATAATCTTTTGGCTATTTTTTTTCTGCTGGTATATCTTTGGGATATATTCTTCAAGTGGGGTTTCTGAATCATAGGGTAAAAATTACGTAGTGCTGTGGTTTTAGAGATATGTCCATACATTCTTTGATAATCCTCCCCTTAAGAGGTGGAGCTCAATTCCCATTCATTTGATTATGGGCTGGCTTGAGTGCCTCACTTCTAGCCAATAGAATACGGAAAAAGTAATCAGATGCCACTTCCAATTTAGGTTATAAAAAGCCTGTGGCTTCTGTTTTGTGTGTGTTCTCTCTCCCTTGACTCACTTGGTCTATACAGAAGTCAGTTATCATATCATGAAGCCGTCTTAGAGAGTGGGAAGTCACCTGCCACATCATGGAAGCAGTAAGATAGCCTAAGGAAGGGCCCACATAGTGAGGAACTGAGGCCTGTAAGCAGCCATGTGAGCAAACTTGGAAACTGATATTGCAAGGCTTGCCCACAGCTATTTGATTGAATTTGGAAGCATATCCTCCTACACTTGAGCCTTGAAATAATTGCAGCCCTGACCTATGGCTTGATTGCAACTTCAGAGACTAAACCTGAACCACCCAGCCCAGCTGTTCCCATTCTTGACTCACAGAAACTATGAGACAATACATATTTATAATTTCAAGTTGCTAAGTTTTGGGTAATTTGTTACACAGCAATAGATAACCAATACATGTAGTTTTGCTAGATATTGCCAACCCCTCTAAATAGGGGCTATAAGTTTGCTGTCCCACCAGTAATACATGATATTTCCCATGGCCTAACCAACAGTGTTCCCAAACTTAGAATAATACTTTACAAGCAAATAGATGAGAAATGGTATCACACTATGGCTTTAATTTTCTTTCATTATGAAAGGAAGAATGAAAGGAAGAAGATGTTCCTTCAACATCTTCTTTTTAAATTAGGTACTACATAAGGACAGCTTTCCATCATTCTTAAGATGAAGAACTAAAGTTTTTACAATTCCTACAAGGCTCTCCACATAGGAACAGTAGTAGAGTCTGGCCTTTTCCTGAGTCTACAAATTCCACTGGCATCACTCTTTGAGGCTGAGGATTCTGAATTAATCATTACTATATACCCTTACCACTAAATTCAGTGTCTACACTGTCTTAAGCTCAAAGCAAGAAACAAATATTGATATAACTGTGGAAGCCTAAATAGATATAAGAAGTTAAGTGCTCACAACCAACCATTTCTTACCCTCTTTGCCTTGACCAAACTTTAGTCAGACTTCTCTCCTTCCCACAGGCCCCTACATTTTGCCTTCCCCTGAGTTGAAACACCGCACTAATGCACTATGATTCAGAACATCTCCCCTTAACCGCTTATTCTGAATTCCATGACAACAGAAACAATTTCTGTAGAAATGCCCCGGTTTTGCCACCTGCACACCCCTACCTCATATCCTCCAACCTACAAAGTTCCTGCTAACCCTTCTTATTCCTCCCTATAAAAAAAAAGTCATTTTGTTTGATATTGTGATTCTTGCAGATTTGAGATTGGAGCATTCTTCCTAATGCAACAGTGTTCTTTCTGAATACATTGTCTTCTTATCTAAGTCTGCCTTTGTTTTGACATGAGAAATAAAATTGCTAAATGTAAAATTGCTGCCTGTTTCATAATATATCAAAAAGCATCACTCGTGTGAAACTTATGATTCAAAATTGTATTCATTCATACAAATGAAACATTGGTCTGTGAACATGCATTTTGCTTTTTTAAAGCTTGATGTGAGGTCTAAGTGTTAAGATAACAATTTTAATATTCTCTTTGGCTGGTTCATTTTTTTAAAATCATGTTGTTGTTGTTTCTGAAATCTAACCTTCTCAGTCTCTCCCTTATGTCCGTTCCGGTTTTCAAGTCTCTTTTCTGTCTCAATCTCTCTGTCTACCACGCTCTACCCCTTAGCTTCCCACTTCTATTCCTATGTCTGTTTTTCTTCTCTTCAGTGTCCCGTCTCTCCTCCTTTCTAGGCTTGCTCCTTTGTCCCCATTTCCCCCATTTTCTCTATGATTCTCTGCTTCTCACTGTCCCTCTCTTTGTGCCTCGGTCTCTTCTTCCCTGCCTCTTAATTTCCCTTTTTCCTTCAGTCGACCTGTTATTACTTATTACTGCAATATGAATTTCCCTTATAAGGATTCCTTACCGTTGTTATTGGCATAATTACAGTTCACAGTGATTGTTCAGCCCCCAGATTTTGTCCCTCTCTCCCACAGTGGAATCTCCCTGGAGAGGACCGCACCATTCCACGCTTCCCCTCTCAGCAAATCGAATCTCCCGGCATAGGGCTGTACCATGCACAAACACGTCCATGGTACCATTTAAAATTCCTCCCCTTTCGTCAGAAGCATGCTTCCAGTAGAGGAAGGTTCACTCCAACTTCTTCTTCAATCCTCCTTGTAAAATCTGTCTGCAAAAGTGTGCACCTTACTGCTCCTTTCGTAGGCCGCCTTTCCGTCGTCTTCCCCTTCCTTCGCTGCCGCGTTGGTACAGCCCACCCTCGGGCTCAGCACCGGGCGAATCCTCCGCTAGTACGGAGACGACCGGGCTCTCAAGATGGCGGCCCCATGCGGAAACAGCCCCAGGGAGCAGCCATGTTGCTTCCTGAACAAAGCCTCTGAAGATGCGGAACGGGCAAAACCGCCCCGTACGGAACAACCCAGCCTACGGAGCCTGGTGTTGTGCTCCCGGACAGGAAGCAGGAGAGTTTGCCAATATGGATGTGACAGCGGTTCCCGTTAAGCCGTGATGGGGGTTTTGGGACCTGATAATCCAGCTGGGAGTCAGAGGCGGGATGTGTGCGGTGAAGGGTGAGTCTGTGGGATTGGTAATGGGAGGAGAGGAGCCCGTGAGGGTCAGTGGTAGGTTTATGAAGTCACTGGTGGGGGAAGTCGGTGGGATTAGTGTTGGATTTATGTGGGAGTCCAAGATGTGATTAGTAACTGGGAAGTGAGAAGTGAGGGGGTGTTTATGGGGTTAGGAATGGCGTGCAGGTGGACTGACTGGTGGGTTTAACTGGGTTCAGTGATTTACGGGGCTCTGAGGAATCAGTGATGGGAGGCTATGGACTAAATGATGGGGGCGTCCATGTATTCAGTGATGTGATGGACATGGGGGAGTTCAGTAGGGTACATAATTGCTAGGCTTGAGAATTCCGAGATTTAGATGGGGACAGTAATGGGGTCACGGTATTGTGGTGGTCAGCCACATTTTACTGGGGAAGGCCTTTACTTACGTTAAATTTCCACAGGTCATAGGCAGCTAGCTGAGTTCTTAAAGGTCAACCCCTTTTCACATCTTTTCGTAGTCTACCATTGCCCCCTAAGCATTTCTGATGGTACCCCCAACAAGACCAAACAAATAAAAGCTGATAGAATCATAATAAAAAGTTTGATTTCAGTCCTCCACTTTCTCAGTTTGTTGAAATCATTTTATATTTTATTCAAGAGACATTTATTGAGCATCTGCTGAGTGTCCAGAGATGAGTATGACTGTTTCTTTTGTTTCCTTTTAGATCTGTTTTGATACAGCCTGGGATACCCCCTATAAAATAATCTCTCTATCATGGGATCCCCCACTTCCTCTGGGCTAGTTAAGCTCTGTCTGCATGACTTGTCCTGGGACTGAGGAAAGTTTACCAGGTATGTACCTTCCTGCATTGTGGTATATTCTCTTTTTTTTCAGTCGTTCCAACCCATCACCATTTTTGTATGCAGACAATAGCACTGTTGAAAAAGAGCAATACAAATTTAAACAGAAAACATATTAAAATTAACCTTTGAGTTCATGCACATTGATTTAGCAAGAGTTTTCTGAGTTGGGGGAAAATATAAGAGAGTTCTTGGAATATTGTTGGAATTCAGCTGCTGGTTCTTTTGAGGAATAGGGAATGCATGCCTCAGTTTTCCATTTGGTCATTCCCATTCTTATTGCCAAGGAGCTCCATCTTCACTTATATCTTTATATAGCTATCCATGATTATTGCCTCATGAAAATCTTATATAAATAGAATTGCTGATTCCCAGGGGGAACAATAAGTTGTTAGTAAATCAGCTGGAAACATATCTTCACATCTATCCAATTATAAACCTTGGTCAACTTCTATGTGATCATATTATAAGTACAAGAGGAGTAAAGAATGATCCCTCCTCCACATGGTGCTTGCTGATCCTTCTGTTAGGCTCAAACAACCTTATCCCACAGGGTAGCCCATTAGCTACCTGACTTCTGGTGTTAGTTGTTGCTAGACTGGTGAATGTGAAAGCTGCAGTCTGGGTTTGGTCTATGAAAAACATTCTGGGCCGGGCGCGGTGGCTCACGCCTGTAATCCCAGCACTTTGGGAGGCCGAGGCGGGCGGATCACAAGGTCAGGAGATCGAGATCATGGTGAAACCCCGTCTCTACTAAAAATAGAAACAATTAGCCGGGCGCAGTGGCGGGCGCCTGTAGTCCCAGCTACTCGGGAGGCTGAGGCAGGAGAATGGCGTGAACCCGGGAGGCGGAGCTTGCAGTGAGCCGAGATTGCGCCACTGCACTCCAGCCTGGGCGACAGAGCGAGACTCCGTCTCAAAAAAAAAAAAAAAAGAAAAAAAAAAGAAAAACATTCTGATCACCAGTTTTGCTTTTTCAGTCATCTGGCCTTTTGGAAAAGAGCAAAAAATGATGAAGTCCCAGGTGAGTTGCTTTTTTAAAAAAATATTTCTTCTTTGGTTTTTCATACAATCAAATGGAAAGTAAAGATAGCTAAAATCTGGATTAAGGAAAAGGTGGTAACAATAAAGATCAAGACCTCAAAAGCGTTGCTAGGTAATATGTAAAAAACCTGGCTGGAAACCATTTTTATAAATTAATGTACTAATTGTTCTGATCTTTCTTGCAGACATCATGAGTTACACGATTTGCATTTCCCTAAAGAGAAAGATAAATTTCCCATGGTAAGAAAATATTTCTTGCCATATAAGACTAAAAAAAAAATTCCTTTTTGGCTTTTACTCTAGGAGGTGGAGTGCACAGTGTCCTCACCAACACTCCTTTGGTAAATGCCACAGTAGGTTTCTTGTAGTGGTGTCTTAAAATGATCTTTTTAGAGGGGATGTATCATAATATCTAGCCAAACTCCTTGAACCTTATTCTTGAGTGGGAGATGGCAAATTATTATCCATGGGCCAAATCCCATTCTCCAACTGTGTTTATAAACAAAGCTTTATTGGAGCACAGCCATGCTGTTTGTTTACATGTTGTCTATAGCTTTTTTCTAACTACAATGGCAGAGATGAGTAGTTACAACGGAAACCATATGGCCTGGAATGCCAAAAATATAAACTTTACTGAAAAAATTTGTTGACCTCTGCTTTCGAGGAACAAACTAATTACAGATGCTTCCTATTGTCCAGCTTTATCCACAGGTAAATTCATTAATGTAAGATAGGCACATTTTGAATGTTTTTCTAAACTATATATTTCTCTCAAAAAAAGCCATTCTTAAATTTTATTTATCTGGCAAATCTTTGGAGGGCAAAAGTTCCTGATGCTCCATATCTTTTGCTGTGCTTTCAGAATTTGTAGGATTACTGTCAAGTTCAAGGCTGTTCCTTCTTTGCTCTCCCATTTTAAAAAGTTTGTATTATTTTTTCTTTCTGCCAGCATTGGCATATAAACATTTAAAATTATATAAAAGATAAAAATTTAAAACAAAGAGACCTTTAACTTAAACTCACTTTCTCCCAGGTTAACCATTGCTTCTAATCTTCCAAACCTTTTTTGATATGAATATAACTGTGATTAACTGTTTACGTGTAAAAGTACAAATGTGTGAGAATGTCTCTTATTTTCATACACTTTTCTTTTGGAAAAAGAATGTTACGGTAAACATTTTGTTCTGCAACTTGATTTTTAACTTACTGTCCACTATAGCTCTTTTGTATACATTTAGAATATCTTTCCATATCAATACATAGAATTCTCCTTTATTAATTTATCAGATGCATAATATTTCTTTGTGGCCTGGTTGTCTGGGATTGCTTCTTCATCTTACAGATAGAGATTATAATCCTCATAGGGTTGTTGTGAGAACTGAGTAAAAACCATGCTTGAAACTATAACTGGGGCATGGTTTATACTGTATTTAAGTATCAGCTGTTATTACATCATCAGTATCATTAACATTGTCAAATCTTGAAGTCAGCTTTTGCATCAGGAGTCCTTATGTATATTTTACAGTAGAGTTTAGAGTTCTGTTGCAAAAAGACTTTTTTGTTGTTTTTGTTTTTGGATTTCAGTAGCTTTGCTTGAGAGCTGTGCTGTCTAATATAGCAGCCATCAGTCAAATGTGGTTTCTGAACACTTGCAATTGGCTAGTTTGAATTGAGACATGTTGTGTTAAGTCCATACCAGATTTCAAAGTTATATTTCCAAAAAACTCAGTAGTAGTTTTTAAGGATTGATTACATGTTGAAACAATATCTTGAGTAATATATTGGAATAAATATATATTATTGAAAATAATTTTTGAATGTGGTTCCTAGAAAATGTAAACTTACTCTCTGGTTAGCTTTATATTTCTGTTACACAACACTGCTTTGAAGGAGAATGGATTTTTTAATTAGCCCAATACATCCAACTGCTGTGGCTAATTAGTTGATTAATTGCTTCTTCCTTCAGGAAGAGGGCTGTATATTAGTTCCCTACCATCCAGAAGTGAAGTCGTTTTTACACATATCCTTCTTTTCAGCCTGTAACACCTACTTCCCTTTCATTTCTTCCATCTCTTAATTGTACTTCCATTTCTGCAGGGACCCGAGCTGTAAAAATGGTTTCTAGTTGACAAAAGTATAATTTTCCACTGATTATGTACTATATTTTTCTCAAAATTAAGAAATTTATACCTACTTATTATATTGAAGCTTTTGGGTATCATTAATAAAGCAAAATCAGAATGTTAGAATGATAATATCTATGAATTTACCTCTCAGAATGGATTTCCTCTGTATTCCAGATTTATTATCTTTCTTATGTTACTTTTCTTCAGATTAAAAAAATGTAGACTAATACACAAAACAGTTTTTAACTAAGCATGAGTTTTTGTTTTTTCTTTATAATCATTATTCATTTCTTTTTAACAAACATTTCTTACGTACCCAGTTTATGTCATATGCACTGGCTAGCTGTTGAATATCCTGAGCAGATTTAGGTATAGTTTTCTTCTGGGAGGACTGCAGAGAAAAGAGAGATATGGAAACCAACATTAACACATTGGCAGAGATGTAAAGAGATGTAGAAACTAACATTAACACATAAAAGTTCTGTGGCAGACATGGGAGCAGGTACTGTTATAGCAGAGAGTGGGGAACAACCAGATTTCTAAGGAAGTAGGTAATAGGCTTAAA